CGCGAACGACTGCGGAAAATCATGCAAAATTCGGCTGTTCTGAGCGGTTCACACACATCGTGTGTCAGCTCCACGTTGGGATGATGGCGCGCGCCGCTGACCACGAGTCGGTATTCGAAGCCTTTGCACCGACCAACAAAGTGAAGCAGGACTACGCACTTACTCCCACCCACTTCAGTGTCATGTTCTCCGCCCTGTTGGTGGTTGCCTACCGTGATGAGCGGCCTGGGATCAGCATCGTCTACAGAACTGACAGTCACTCTCAACACAATCGCTCTAATGGGGGCGCATTCGTCCCAGTAACCAATCATTAATTAACTGCCTTGCGAGTTACCAATGAAAACCGCATAATGTAACATATGAAGTCAGGTAACCAGTCGATTGGCTATCGTTAATAAAGGATCAAGTCACTAGGATCTATCAGCCGCACCATCTATTTTCTCTGCCGTATGCATCGCTCAGTGGTGAGCTGCGCGGGTGTGCTGTCCGAGTCACTATGGGCGTGGACTATCAGCTTCTCCGTTACTTCATGTTGGGCATGATTTGCAGTCTTGTAATAAGAGTAATAATATACTGGAACAAACCATCCGAACCCTTGTTCGTCTCGAGGCCAAGATCAAAGGCGTCAAATGGTAAGGAAATGCATGATAAGATTAGGTTAATTTTAACGTTGTATTTTTAAAATGGTTTGCCAGTAGACAGGACGAAGCATTCGCCTCTGACTTCTAGTGCACGTATTGCTCATAGACATTTACGGTTTAGTACCCGCAGCAAGTTGATCGCTTTTCACTTAAATTAGCCATGTCACTCGGGCAGAGAATGGAAACAAAAGTTAAACGTTTGATGTAGCAAGGCGAACAGCTTTATATCCGATCCCAGCCAATTTACACGTTCTTATAGTCATCATTCATAGGATTCTTGCCACTCCCAAGGTAGCGTCAAACAACAGCGTAAATCTACGATACTAGACTTACACAGGCAAATAGTTAAAAACAAATGTGTACAGTCTCTTCTCGGTTATCAAGTAGTAAGGATAAAATATGCTGTCACACACTTTATTAAATTTCACCGATCCAGTCTTCTTCAAGCCATTCAAAACCTAAGGAAAGGTCCCCCTAAGCAACACAACAGTCTGGCGAGTGCTGCAAGCAAAATGCCGCAACTTGCGAAACACTGGTAATCACTCACAAACGAACATTGAGTAGGGTTGCAATACTGATTATCGTGCAGTCTAATCTCAAGTCTTTTCAGCCATGCCGACTCTGTAAGGAGCTTATAGCGAAGTGTTAAGGCTAACACGGTTAACCCTAACAGCTACAATCTTCCAGGCCCGGTTCCTTAGTAGAGGAGAAGTCGGTGGAGGCCAGAGTAGTAGTAGGAGTTTATTGTGTACACAACGGAAAAGGAGAATAGATGAGAATAGATTGA